GCAAAGTGGTTAAGTACCCCTTTTATTGCTCTCCGACTCGTCCGTGACGGACCTGACACGAGCGGCCATGTGACAGGAAGTGTCAGTGGTCACGAAGTTTTGAAGTTATAACGGTCTTGTCTCGTCTTTTTCCTGACGCATTTTTTGCCCTCTGACTTGCACTGGCGAACTTTCCTGACGTTCTGTGGCCCTTTCCGTATTTTGGAGGTTATAACAATCCTCTATCGTAGTTTTCTGTGTTATTCTTTGTCCACAGCCGTACTTTTTGTGGCAGCTTTTTGTTTTACTTGTAAGATAAACAGTTATATAAACAGTCATCTGTCCTAAGTCAAAGTTATCTGTGCGGATTTCTGTCTGCTGCCGATGGCAGTCCGGGAACGAGTTCGCCGTGTGGCGAAGGACGTTTTTGGTTATGAAACTTTGCGGCAGGGTCAGGAGGACGCCGTGTTGGGGATTTTGGATGGGCACGATGTCTTCGTTGGACTGCCGACGAGGGCCGGTGTTCTGACATTCTGCTTTCAGGCCATACCGTCGTGCATCAACTCCCCCGAAGGAGATGCTTACCGTTTGCTACTAGGCGTGGCCCTCTGGTCCGCCATTGCCTAAAATGAGTCGCCCTTGCATCGAATAGTCAATGTTTGACACAAAATCAGCCGCAGAAAAAAGAGAAAATGTCGATTCTTCTTTGTTTCTGTTCAGTTTCGCGCCGGAGTAACCGCATCGTAACGAAACTATAGCGTAACGTGGAACAATATGGCATTTGTATCGCAAAAATAACCCAACTTCAGTACATTTCATCAACAGCAAGAAAAAGCCTCGGTCTTATGTCAGAAAAAAACACAGATAATAGGAACATAATGTGAAAAAAATATAATTTTCGTCGCGTTTTGCTGTCAGTCTCTATTTGACCTTTGTCCCAGACACAGCCACAGTGCACACACACCCGGCTGAGTTCCCGCTGGGCGCTGGCGGGTTTATGACTTGAATGATCTTCAGCGCTGATCAAGTTTCTTTGTACGAATAATAGGGGGATTAATTTTATATCGTTTGAAGCTTGCGACTCCGCACAGGCTCCGTGGGTCGCAAATTGGAGTTTCTATGGCCCTGGATCTTCTCTGGTATACTATTCCCTTTATTTCGGCCCATTTCTACTATTTTTCCAGCGATCCGCGGAGCCTGGTAGAGGCTAGAGTGCAGTGGCTAATGGGCAAAGTCATTGTCATGACTCTAAGTACTAGTAAATAAATAAAATAAATAAATAAATACTAGTAACTTAAAATACAATTTACACTGACAGAACAGACAGAAGTTACTAGTAACATGAACATATTGGATATTTAACATTAGTGAGAAATAGTGGTAACTGTCTCATAATGATAGCATTTACAAATGAACTGTGTTTTTATATTTTATGATTATGAAGTCTTAACTTTGATATTATTCCATCCAGGATGGAGAAGGAATGATGCAGGTGGATCCAGAGGTGTCATTCAGAACACCTGGAGATGTATCAAGGAAAAGAAAAGTGGTAAGAACTACAATTTAGATAAATCTGTGTGATGTACAAAAACATACAGTCTTATCTTGTCATTAAACATCATCTTTGAGTCATCATCATCTTAAGTCAAGGCAAACACTAAAAACAAGATGAAGTGGTTAAAACCTTGGTCGGCCCCTGAAGATAGATCAACATTGATCAAGATTGTAAAGTTAAAAGAAAAGAAAGTTGTGCATCAGACATCAATATTCCACTTTAAAATATACATTCTTATATTGCATATGTAAGTTATTGGCTTACAAAATTACAGTTATGAAAATCTACCCGAACAAGAAATAACAGTGCAAACAATTGTTGTCTTCTTGATTTCATTAGAATATGTTTTTTTTAGTTGCTGTTTTTTTTCACACAGACGGGGGAGGAAAAAGATGGTTATGCTTTTGCCGACAGCGACGATGACCTTGAGGTGGATTGGGGCGTCCCGCACCCTCCTGGAAAAGCACCAGTTCCCAGTCCTTCAACTTCAAAGTCATCTCAAACAACATCCAACCTCAAAAACTGAGGAATCAAAAGAGGATGACAGTGATGGTGAGAATGATACAGAGGAGGAGATGGATGATGATGATGATGAAGATGAAGAGATGGTGGTTGCCATGGAAACTATTAAGGAGAAGGGTGACACTTCAACAAGACAGGAAAAGACAAAAGGAGACTTACAGATAAACACGCCACACAGATGAGGAAAGACTCCTCAAGGACAGAAACCAAACAACTCCTGAAGTTGGCATTCCGAAACCAAAGACGAACTTGAGACAGGAGGAAGGCTCTGGAAAAAGGAAAGGAAAGAAGGTAGATTCTGAGAGTGAGGAATCAGAGTCTGAACTGAAGAGCAACATGTCTGATTCCTCTGGTGAGGATGATGAGGATGCAGGGAGTGAGTTAGATGATGATGAGGATGGGAGGAGGAAGATGATGAGGAAGATGATGAGGATGAGGACAGTTCTATTGAGGAAGCTGAAGATGAAGAGGAGGAAGATGAGAGGACCACGCCAGATGACACAAGTGCAGTTCTGCCCCTGGAGACAGAGGGCGCATTGAGGTGGAAGGAAAACCTTTCCCAGAAGGCGACAGACGCGTTCCTGCGTCGTCAAGCAGACACACCCAACCTGAGGAAACTGGTGTACGGCAAAGTGGCTGAGGAACTGTCTTCTGGTAGGATAACTTGTAACTTATACTCGTCACTTTCAATTTGAAATGAATTCAGAGAGACATTGGGATTCAGAGAGACATTGGGCTTATTACTTCTAGGATGGAAGTATTGTTTTTTGGTAGATGTGTATCTTTGTTTGTGTGTGTGTGTGTGTGTCAATGTGTGTTGTGTCCACATTGAGTGCCGGAGAATTAATTGGGTTGAGAAGGGGTTTCACTGAAATGATGGGGTCGTGAATTTGGTGTGCCCTTAGTGTCATGATGTGGTACAGACATGCAATGATTGTACAAGTAGTAATCTATTGTATGATGTAATTCAATCAGGTATTTTTTTTTTGATTATATAGTACAGTACAGACCAAACCATTCACAGATACCCAATACAGTCCTGGAGGTCTACATTTCCTATTTCTTGTTTCTAACTTGTGACGCCATGGTTAACCATTTAATTGATTATATCAATGATTGATTGATTGATTGATTGATTGATTGATTGATTGATCTTTCTACAGATGAGGAAGATGATGAACTTGGTGGCTTGTTCAAAAGAACAACAAAAAAGAGTGAGGGAAGGAGGGGAGGACCCAACGATCTGGACTGTGCCAAGTTTCCCATCACAACGGGGGAGGCCAGGGAGTTTGAAGAGGTAAATGTTATTTTACAATTTATTGTTTTATTATTTTATTGTGTTATTGCATCCAAAGCTCAATAGCAAGGCCAATTTTTGTCCATCAATAGTGACAGATTGGGCAAAACTTTTGCCAATCATGAGCAGCAAATATCTGTCAAAGGTTATTTGATGAGAAATACTAAGAGGCCAAACAAGTTTTTTTTTTTCATGTTAAGGATTTTTGACTTTTCACAGCTGCTTAACCCTTAAGCCAGTGCTAATTTTGTGCCGTAACAAAACATTAGCAGGAAGAATGTTAACTTGCAATATATCCGCATTCTCCTTTCTTTATTTTGTTACCTTCTAGATCTATGACTTGATCAAGGACTGTTTTGTGACGGGAGACTGGGGCACCCAGGATGCAAAGAGGCAGCTGGAGGAGGACGAGGCTCTGTATGGGGACTTTGAGGATCTGGAAACTGGGGAGACACATACTGCACAGACAGGGGAAGAGGAGGATGCAGACCGGGAAGACCAGAATGATAACCAGGACGAAAAGAACAGTGCAGAGGTGATTTGTGATTTGAGGAGCTTTGCATCAAGACTTAGTCTCCATTAGTCTTTCCACCACAAGCCCTGATTGGCTTCCAACTTGCGTTCGTAAGCCATGATTGGTCCTTCTATCACAAGCCCTGGTTGGCTACCAACTAGCTTTTCTAAGCTGTGATTGGTTACCAACAAGCTTTTCTAAGCTGTGATTGGTTACCAACAGTCTTTTCTAAGCACTGATTGGCTACCAACAAACTTTCAAACAAATAAATACATGTATGTGCAATCTCCTCCAGTTTTATTGTTCTCTGCTCACCACTATAGCCAGGCAAGTCAAACAGTATTGAAGATTTGGGGAGAAAAAAAGTGTTAAGCCTTAAGTTTTGACTTGCTGGCAAATGTTCGATTTTATCATAGGAAGAGCTTTGTAATGTTTTTGAATCCCTGTCGTTTTAAAAGCCCTCTTTTAAATTCCGCTGTTTTTAAATCTCTCTCTACAATTTTTGAATTCCTCTCTTTTTCACCGCAGACACCAGCAGAAGAAAAGACAGCACGAGAGAAGCTCCTGGAGAAGAAGAGGAAACTGAAGGAGTTGTTTAATGCTGAGTATGACAACGAGGAGGGAGGAGAGTCATACTACGACAGTCTGAAACAAGAGTTAGAGCAGCAGGCACAGGTAAAGCTATACATTGTTGTTAAATCTTTTCCCTGCTGCCTTACCCAGTAACCAATACAAAACTGGTGCCTTAGCATGCTGAAGGTTAAAGTCACTAGGCTACCAGTCAAACTTGACAGGCTTTAGGCCATTTTGATTTGATTATGTGTATAACATCCTATAGGCAACCCAAAACCAAGCATGCAAATAAAGATATAGTTAGAAGGCAATAATAATAAAAAATTGCCTTCATTTTGAAGATTCCAACTTATTTTTAGAAATGTCCAGACAGTGATCCATCAGCTATCCTATAACACTCTGAATATGCAGAATGTGTGCACGTCAAGGCACATAGCATGTACCTTGAGGAAATCATGCCTTATAATATATCTCACATTTACTGTCAGCAGTGGTTATTGATAGGATTTTGCCATGGTCATATTTAAGACCTGGTGTAATGGCCAAGTGAGTAGGGTGCATTCGGCTGTGAGTTAGATGCCCAACCAAGTCATACGAAAGATTTAAAAAATGGTACATACATGTACTGATTTCAAATACTAGTACTCAGTATTTGGGAAAGAGTATGGAAGCTATACAGTCACATACCACTACCAGACTAATTGAACTAGCCCCTGCTGTAGTGATTGTAGAACTGAGTGGCCCAAGAGCTATTGAACTGGAGATGTGTGTCGCCCTATGCACCATCTGGTGCTAGGAAATATTTTAACTAACATAACTAAACATGACCTGAAACACTGTTCAGCTGAACCGCGCAGAGTTTGAGGACATGGACGCGGAGACACGTGCGCAGTACGAGGGTTACCGGCCGGGCATGTACGTACGACTGGAGGTGCCCCACATGCCCTGCGAGTTTGTCACCAACTTTGACGCCTCTTACCCAGTGATTGTCGGTGCCTTGATGAGTGGTGAGGACAGTGTGGGATATGTGCAGGTGAGAGCACTTGTGTTCTATTAGCTATTAGCATGCCTAGTCCCTCCTAGTCATTTGAGTCCAGTGTTTAAGCGATCCTGCCTCTGGACCAAGAGGTTGGGAGTTTGAATCCCAGCTGTTGTTGCTCACAAGGTATGCACGCTACTGGAAAGGGTCATTAGAAAAGGAGGTTAAGCCGTGGTAATTGTACTTGTGAAAAAGAGCTAGAGGGATTTCCCTGGTACAATGAACCTGCATGTACTGGACATAGCGTCTGTCTTCTCTGTCACAACCAGTGGAAGAATAGCTCTTCAATGAGCTTAACTGGATCAAGATCACTTTCCTTTCCTTTCTTTCCTTTCTTTTAAAATCTTCTGAATCAAATACTGCAATCAGAAATCTCTTAATACTGCTTTGGTGTCAGACTTGCATTGTAGTCAATGGTATTGTCAGAATATTTCTAATTGTACATTTTTGCACATTATTTTGCACAATGGTTCTGTTGTATAAAGATTGGAAACAATTTTCTTTAAGATGCGTCTGAAGAAGCATCGCTGGCACAAGAGGATCTTGAAGACCCGAGACCCCTTGATCTTCTCTGTGGGCTGGAGACGATTTCAGAGCGTGCCGCTGTACAGCATCCAGGACCACAACATGCGCAACCGCCTCCTGAAGTACACTCCTGAGCACCTGCACTGCAGCGCCACCATCTGGGGTATGTTGGTACTGCAGCTATTTGTTTATTGATCCATGTACTGTTAATATCTATATCATGGATGGCAAAGCTTAACAGTTGTTTATCGTGACTATATTTTTGCTGTCTTGCTCCCTGTTCATGATACTTCCACTCTGCATATGTTGATAGCATGATTTGAACAGTATAGTATAATAAAATGTTACATGTAATTACCATGTTTCTCTTACCTGTTTATGTATTACATATCCACTCTATGTCATGTGTATGTACATTATTACTCCGTGAAGGAGGTCAGGACCTCCGGACGGAGTGTTGTAATCGGCTGATTTTTCATGTTCGCAGTCAAAACACTGGGTTCTCTTTGTGTAATCGGCACGCAATTTTATACGCCGTCTGCGGGCATGCCCGTGTTGATGCACGAATGTGTATTTTTGCCGTTGCTGCTTTCGCGGTCAATGTAATATCGCAGACGCACCCCTACAATTACGAGGCGAATTGGAATGGTCCAGAAAAACGCGTTGTTTGGAATAGCAGTGGGGTTCAAAAAAGTTCATGCAGATACGGGGTGGTTTTTATAAGTGGTTCCAGATGTTTTTGCCCATGGTTAAGAGATGCCAAGTTTTTTGGAAGATGTTCGCAGCCAAAAAGCATTCTTCCGTACGTCGCATTTCTGTGTAATTTCGCATGTGGTGTTGCATTATGTCCGGGATGATGCACGTCTTTTTATTTTTACCGTAGCTGTTTTGATATTGGAGTAAATGCTTATTTTCGAAACATCCCCATTTCTTTGAAATGGTTTCGTCCGTTTATGCAACTGTTACTGCGCTAATGACGACCAGTCGCGCTGTCCTGATACACCGCGAATGTGCGAGTGTTCCCTGTAGACAGTCCCGGGAGTCATTTTTTGGCACATTCCAGGAGCCAAACCAAAATACGTTCATGAACCGAGTCCAAAAAACCGAAACGTGAAAATCGGATGATCGGACCTGATGTACATTTCTCTTTCTATAGATTGTACACACAATACACACATCTTTAGATAATCTGGCCATGGCAGGTTAAAAAAAAGTAACCCTGAATCATACTAGATTAGCGTAAATGCATTAATGCGTTCAAAACAAGAAAAAAATTGTTTCCGGGTATTAATCTCTTGAATCACGGCGCTGAATATTGACGCAAAAATATTTCGGGCATCGCGCGCCCTTCCCGCGTCACGTGTAGGCATCTCGCATCTCTGATTGGTTGTTGCGTCTTAAGATGACTGAGCCGACGCGCGTTTAAACAATTTTTCTTTGTTCGATTTATCACACTTCACAGAGAATTGTCGCCAATGGCTACTTCTTTTTGTTGCAATATATAATACTTCACGGAGAATTGTCGCCTATGGCTTCTTGTTAGTTTTAAGTAGAGGTAGAATGTTAAATTAGTAGAACATAGAACTTCATGTTAGTATATGGTTTCCTCAATAAATTGTTCTTGTCAATGTCTGTATGCAATTAGCCCTTGGCATGAACTTGCAATAAAGCTATACTATACTATTCTGTTTTCTAAAAGCACAAAATTCGTGCAATGTCCTCTACCTTTGTACTATGTCATCTACCTTCATAGTGGTGCGTCTACTTGTTCGCTGCTGCGCCCAGATTTTTTGGGTTTAGGAACACTGGTTCCAAGTCAAAAAGTTAGTCTGGAGCTCTTCTTCTGTCCTTGTCCAGGCCCCATCACCCCACAGGGCACGGGCGTCCTGTGTGTCCAGTCTGTTGGGGACCGGTCGTCAGACTTCAGGATAGCCACCACAGGAGTCGTGGTGGAACTGGACAAGTCTGTCAACATTGTGAAGAAACTGAAGCTGACAGGGTACCCACTCAAGATATACAAGAACACAGCCTTTATCAAGGTACCGAAAATGCCTTAAGTTTACTTTTGTGGTGGTTTCACTTTGCGTAAGGAGTAAAAATGAAGTTTTCTCAATGTTTAAGTTTTGTGTTTGAAACAATTCTGGAGAGGTCTGGAAAAGGGTATTATCACCACCACCCTTTCATATTAGATATAAACACAACTACTTACTTTCATGCCATGGATCAAGATTACTAGACTTCTGTATTACAAGTTAGTTAGACGTCACCCTGAAAAATTTTCGCACTACTAAGTATAACTTCCAACAGAAAAAATTGG